ATATATAAAATTTAAGTATAAATAAATTTTTATTCATTTATTTTATATATTAAAAAAATAAATATTTTCAGTGATATATTTAAGACCGCTGGAAGTTTGTGAAGCGTGGAGGGCTTATTGACACACATAACGATAGAGATAAACCCAAAAATATTATAACAAAAAGGTTAAATCTACATTTTGGTCCCTGAACTATTATATGGACCTCGGATTTGGTCATTGAACTAAAGAAATCCCTGATTTGGTCCCTACACTACTGTACGGACTCACAATTTGGTCCCCACTGTTTATAATTTGGCTTACGTTGGTCCTTAAATTATTGTACGGACCCCACTTTGATCATTACTGTTTACAATTTCGCCCCAATTTGGTCCATAAACTATTATTTAACAGAAGGATCAAGTTGGAGCTAAATTGGTAAATAGTAGAGACCAAATTGAAGATTTGTATAATAATTTAGGGATTAACTCGGAGTCTATACAATAGTTTAGAGACCAACTCAGGGTACATACAATAATTTAAAGACCAAATTAGGGATTTCTTTAGTTTAAGGACCAAATTAGGGATTTAACCTAACAAAAAAGACAACTTTAACCAAGAAGGCAAGCCTGAGCTACTCTGTTTTTCTTCAGGAAGATGAACAGAGCGTTGACCGGTGACGGATCAATTCAAGAATCCGATTATGATCGGAAATACGAGCTGAAGGTGTTCGACGAATCAAAAGCCGGCGTTAAGGGGCTTTTAGATTCAGGGTTGGAAAAAATCCCAAAGATATTCGTCAATGAGCATCGCAAGGTTGAGAAGAATTCTGCCCCTGCTGCAGCTGAATCCTTTGAGATTCCGATCATCGACTTAAAGGGCATTGCGGAAGATCAAAGCTTGCGCCGTGAGGTCATCGGAAAAGTTCGGGATGCAAGCGAGAACTGGGGTTTCTTCCAGGTGGTCAATCATGGAATTCCGGTGAGCACTCTGGATGGGATGATTGATGGTATTCGGAGATTTCATGAACAAGATGCTGAAGTGAAGAAAGAGATCTATTCTCGGGATTATT